CGAGGGTATCTCGCCTGCACAGCAAAGCCTGGCAAGCTACCCGTGACGTATTCGATATGCCAAAAACAGTAACAAGTCTCACAATGGAGACGTTACTGGTGCCCGCTCGAGCAAATCGGTGAACAATGGGAGGACAGTGCTACAGTGCTAAGGATATATGAAAATAACCATGAGCTTCATTTCCAGTCTCTCTTCCTAACTAGGAAGGGAGGATCTTTCTCTCACTGTCAATACAATGAAGAAAATAAGACAGTCTGCCCAAGCTCATCCTTTTTATAGTTTCAGCAGAGGCCATTTGCTATTTCAGTTAATTCCAAAAAGGGGTGTATTTATCATGAAAAATCTGAGGGAAGCATGATGAACTACAGCAGCAAACAGCATCTGTTACCACATAAAATCTGCCCAGATACTGGTAGTGTTTACTTTCCTGCTTCTGCAGAGACCTCTATCCCAACCATTTGTAACTGCAGGAATCTTTACTGTTGATGAAAAACTAGACTAGTACAAAGCAACAATGAAAACATAGCTGTATTTCAGTAGCCCTTAAAAACCAAAACGGTATTTTGTTGTTGTTGTTGTTGTTATTCAAAGGAATGAGTCCTTTTGGGGCCAAAGCGATAGTACAGCAGATAGGGCATTTGCCTTGCACACGGCCGACCCGGGTTTGATCCCTGGCATCCCATATGGTCCCTGAAGCACTGCGAGGAGTAATTCCTGAGCGCAGAGCCAAGAGTAATCCCTGAGCATCGCTGGGTGTGACCCAAAAAGCCAAAAAAAAAAAAAAGAGTCCTTTAGTAACTCGTCAGACTATTGAATCTTTCCAGCTGGTCATCACGGCATTCCTTGAGCAATTAATTAGCAATATCCAGTGGTTCTCATAGCACATTTCTTGATTTGTTACATAAAAACATTATCTCAGTCATCCCATCTTGTTCTGGTCTCACAGTTATGATCTGGGGGCTGCAGTAGTCCTGTGGTATCAGTCAAGGGTGATTTCCTGACTATTCTTGTGAATACAAAAATCTAAGGATGTTCAAATCTTTTTTTTTTAAATTTTATTTTTTTGTATTTTTATTAGTGAGACACCATGAGGTACAGTTGTAGACTTACAAATTTTTGTGCTTGGGTTTCAATTATACAATGATCAAATACCCATCCCTCCACCAGTGCCCATTTCCCACCACCATGGATCCCAGTATCCCTCCCACCCCTCATCCCCCCCATGCCACCCTGCCTCTGTGGCAGGGCATTCCCTTTTGTTCTTTCTCTCCTATTGGGTGTTGTGGTTTGCAAAAGAGGCAATGGATGGCAGTCATGTTTGGTCTATAGTCTACTTTCACATACGTTTTACATAATGTAAAAGCTATGTAAGTAATTATTAAATAGCTTAGGAATAATGATTAGAAATAAAGTCTACATATTTATTATAGATGCAATTGTTAAAGATCTCTCGACATAGAATTTTCTATCCCAAGGGAAACCTGAATAAAAAAATCTCTAGGGATGGAAAATCAACCGTAAATGTGTAAATCTACAGCCAGATTTAAATTTGCAGTTTTGTACAATTTTTAAAATTATCCAATAAGGTATACCTGGTTGGTTTTTGGATGCCTCATTCATGTGTTCCCACTGTACACTGATTTCAGTGAAATGTTACTGAAAATATGAAAGCCTGATATAAGAGAAAGAACACATGGAGGGTGCGGGATCCCGGAGGAAAAAAAAAAAAGAAAAAACAGGTTCCAAAAAGAGCCAAGTTCACCCGCAAGTTCCAGATGGAGTAGGCGCCGCATCTCGCCTCCCCCAGATGGAACCCCGGTGACCAGAAGCCTCTACAAACACAGCTCGAGTATGCGGGAACGAGGACTTTTTCTCAAAACCGCGCGGCCGCTTACGCGGCCGCGCGACATCTCTCTATATACAAAGTGATCAATGAGAAGTAAACCACCCAATCTTTCTCCCTGAAAGTTAGAGTTAAGTTTGGAGCACGGCCACAGCCCCAGAAACACAAGGACTTAATGCAGAACCCAGCAGCTTAGAGCAGAAAAGTGAAAGGACTATGCGTTAATCCAGGCCATCAAGTCTGCCGGAGGGGAAAGGGTGTTGCCCCATTCGCCCTCTCTTCTCTGGAAAGAAGGATGGCGGCCGCATGGGAGCCTTGTGGACAGCAGGTATGAGCCGGGGGTGTGGGGGCGACTAAAACCTCATGGGAAGGGGGGCGTTCCGGTCCGTCCTTCACGCCCTACCGAGGTCACCAGTTGCCCCCCACGAGCGGCTCTCCAGCACGGCCACAGCCCCAGAAGCACAAGGGCTTAATGCAGAACCCAGCAGCTTGGAGCAGAAAAGTGAAAGGACTATGCGTTAATCCAGGCAATCATTTCTGCCCAGAGGGGAAAGGGTGTTGCTCCCTTCCGCCCTCCTCCCTCTGGAAAGAAAGATGGCGGCCACATGGGAGCCTTGTGGACAGCAGGTATGAGCCGGGGGTGTGGGGGCGACTAAAACCTCATGGGAAGGGGGGCGTTCCGGTCCGTCCTTCACGCCCTACCGAGGTCACCAGTTGCCCCCCACGAGCGGCTCTCCAGCACAGCCACGGCCCCAGAAGCACAAGGACTTAATGCAGAACCCAGCAGCTTGGAGCAGAAAAGTGAAAGGACTATGCATTGATCCAGGCCATCAAGTCTGCCGGAGGGGAAAGGGTGTTGCCCCATTCGCCCTCTCCTCTCTGGAAAGAAAGATGGCGGCCACATGGGAGCCTTGTGGACAGCAGGTATGAGCCGGGGGAGTGGGGGCGACTAAAACCTCATGGGTCGGGGGGCGTTCCGGTCCGTCCTTCACGCCCTACCGAGGTCACCAGTCGCCCCCCGCGAGCGGCTCTCCAGCACGGCCATGGCCCCAGAAGCACAAGGACTTAATGCAGAACCCAGCAGCTTGGAGCAGAAAAGTGAATGGACTATGCGTTGATCCAGCCCATCAAGTCTGCCGGAGGGGAAAGGGTGTTGCCCCATTCGCCCTCTCCTCTCTGGAAAGAAAGATGGCGGCCACATGGGAGCCTTGTGGACAGCAGGTATGAGCCGGGGGTGTGGGGGCGACTAAAACCTCATGGGAAGGGGGGCGTTCCGGTCCGTCCTTCACGCCCTACCGAGGTCACCAGTCGCCCCCCACGAGCGGCTCTCCAGCACAGCCACGGCCCCAGAAGCACAAGGACTTAATGCAGAACCCAGCAGCTTGGAGCAGAAAAGTGAACGGACTATGCATTGACCCAGGCCATCAAGTCTGCCGGAGGGGAAAGGGTGTTGCCCCATTCGCCCTCTCCTCTCTGGAAAGAAAGATGGCGGCCACATGGGAGCCTTGTGGACAGCAGGTATGAGCCGGGGGTGTGGGGGCGACTAAAACCTCATGGGAAGGGGGGCGTTCCGGTCCGTCCTTCACGCCCTACCGAGGTCACCAGTTGCCCCCCACGAGCGGCTCTCCAGCACGGCCACAGCCCCAGAAGCACAAGGGCTTAATGCAGAACCCAGCAGCTTGGAGCAGAAAAGTGAAAGGACTATGCGTTAATCCAGGCAATCATTTCTGCCCAGAGGGGAAAGGGTGTTGCTCCCTTCCGCCCTCCTCCCTCTGGAAAGAAAGATGGCGGCCACATGGGAGCCTTGTGGACAGCAGGTATGAGCCGGGGGTGTGGGGGCGACTAAAACTTCATGGGAAGGGGGGCGTTCCGGTCCGTCCTTCACGCCCTACCGAGGTCACCAGTTGCCCCCCACGAGCGGCTCTCCAGCACAGCCACGGCCCCAGAAGCACAAGGACTTAATGCAGAACCCAGCAGCTTGGAGCAGAAAAGTGAAAGGACTATGCATTGATCCAGGCCATCAAGTCTGCCGGAGGGGAAAGGGTGTTGCCCCATTCGCCCTCTCCTCTCTGGAAAGAAAGATGGCGGCCACATGGGAGCCTTGTGGACAGCAGGTATGAGCCGGGGGAGTGGGGGCGACTAAAACCTCATGGGTCGGGGGGCGTTCCGGTCCGTCCTTCACGCCCTACCGAGGTCACCAGTCGCCCCCCGCGAGCGGCTCTCCAGCACGGCCATGGCCCCAGAAGCACAAGGACTTAATGCAGAACCCAGCAGCTTGGAGCAGAAAAGTGAATGGACTATGCGTTGATCCAGCCCATCAAGTCTGCCGGAGGGGAAAGGGTGTTGCCCCATTCGCCCTCTCCTCTCTGGAAAGAAAGATGGCGGCCACATGGGAGCCTTGTGGACAGCAGGTATGAGCCGGGAGTGTGGGGGCGACTAAAACCTCATGGGAAGGGGGGCGTTTCGCTCCGCCCTTCACGCCCTACCGAGGCCACCAGTTGCCCCCCACGAGCGGCTCTCCAGCACGGCCTCGACTCCAGAACACAGAAACCAATTTCTTAACTATCTGACTTTCAGTAGAAATACTTCCAGGGTCAATAGGTAAAATAGCAGAAATCCAAAACCAACATTTAATTCTTGAACCCAGCTGTAGAAAGCAAATCACTTCACAATGCTTTTTCAGCATGTCTGATTTGGGGGGGGGGGGTAAACTCTAAATAATAGTGGCGAATCTTTTATTGAAACAATCTAATCAAAGCGGATAGAGTGTTAACTAGAATTCATCTGCCTCACAGGGACGGGGAGGGGTGGGGGGTGGGGTTTTATTGGGGTTCTTCATGGGAAAAAATAAGTATTGGTAAAGGGAAATGTGTTTGATATTTGCATGACTGAGACATAAACCTGAAAGCTTTGTAACCTTTCCCACAGTGATTCAATAAATAAATTAAAAAAAAAAAAAAAAAAAAAAGAAAATATGAAAGCCTATAGTCTAGTCTGCCAAAGCTGAGAGTCCAGGTGGCAAGTCAATATGTTTTCGAAGTAAAAAGCAAGCAGTTAATTTTTAGGAAAGCATTGATATAGGAAATAACAACAAATGACAAGGAGAGGAGAGTGACTTTTTCTTCTTTTAAAATCTCATACACTATCCTTCACTTACCTTGCTCTGATAGGCTGAGATCCTAGTCTGGGTCCTAGAGCACTACCATTTCCAGGAGAATTCTTTCTGGCTAATGCTGGAGATATTGAAGTTGTTCTTTGAGGCACCTGAAAGAAAGCCAGAATTCAGAAATACTTGCTTAATAGAGCGTTTGCCTTGCATGCCCTGACCTGGCTGACCCAGGATCTATTCCTCCGCCCCTCTCAGAGAGCCCGGAAAGCTACCAAGAGTATCTCGCCCGCACAGCAAGGCCTGGCAAGCTACCCGTGACGTATTTGAAATGTCAAACACAGTAACAAGTGTCACAATGGAGACGTTACTGGGCCCACTCGAGCAAACCGATGAACAACAGGAGGATAGTGACAGTGACACTGACAGTGGCTCTTGCCTAAAAAACAGTCTACTCCTTTCTATATATTAGACAGGAGTTTTAGTAACTCTCAGAAACTAGAAAGAAATGCCCTTGATTTCTCAATGAAAAAATTCTCTGAACAAAAGGCCAGTAGGTACCTTCAGCAACCATTTAGAAATGACTCTCAATTTCCAAAAAATTTGAATTATGCCAAAAGTTTTTGGAGAAACTCTTCTGTTATTCTCATTTCCTGCAGTGCTCTGGGTACCATGTGGTATCAGCTGTCAAACCTCAGGCTTCTGTTGCCACTCCGTTTTGAAAACAAAGATCAAAACAAACCAAGTTAATAATTTTGATTCACTGGACTAGAAGAGTTGACCTCCTTTTATGTGAGTGGTGGATACTAGAAATTTAATTTATTTTGTTTCCTGTACCCTTCCTCTGTTTCTTTTCATGGGATTGGAGGCTCAACTCAGCAGTCGTCAGGATTTACTTCTGGCTCTGTACTTAGTGATCACTCCTGGGAGTGCTTGGGGAACCATACAAGGTGTTGGGAATCAAACTGAGATTTGCTGTAAAGCGACAGTAAATACCTTAACAAGGCAAGTAAATACCTTAACTCTTCTGAAATCTCTTTGGCCCCAGAAATTTCTTTAGGGTATCATAAACTCATCTGATCACTGGAAAAAGGCATCAGATGAGAGTCAGGTATATATGCCATTTATGTCAAATTTAAATTTTAATGCATATCATAACTGATAAAGCAATAAGGATATTAGAAAATCTAGTGGTAAGCTAGGGTATCAGACTAGAACCTGAGATACAAGTCATGTGTCAGTGAGCTCAGAAAGCGATGGTGATAGATCTTCATCAACTTGGAATTACTGATTAAAAATAAACTGAAACCACTCTTCTTTAGAATGTAAATTTATAAATGTACTGCCAATCTGTATTATTAGCAAAAATAGTCAAAGGGTCTTCCAAAAGGCTACATGGATTCAAATAAAACTGAGAGGTATAGCAGGGAAATCTATCAATAGCTTATCTGAAAAGGTTCAAATCAAAACTCAAGAATGCAGTTTGATTTTAAGAAAAAGTTCTAGAGAATTGGAAAGAATCTAACATGAAGAGAAGCAGAAAAATATACCTTATGAAAATGACTAAGAAATTAAAATTGACATCTCATGACAGCTAACTGGTTCAAATCTTTGTCAAGGTGCTTCAATTTTCACTACCTTTCTTGAAATCCTTTTAAAATGGGCTTATGATTTTTACTATTAAACATATTTGATTAAATGTTATTAATTAATAGCATTAATCACAGTCACAGTCCTCCCACTGTTCATCGATTTGTTTGAGCGGGCCCAGTAACGTTTCCATCGTGAGACTTGTTGTTACTGTGTTTGGCATACTGAATACGTCACAGGGAGCTTGCCAGGCTTTGCCGTGGGGGGAAGGTACTCTCGGTAGCTTGACAGGCTCTCCGAGAGGGGCGGAAGAATCGAACCCGGCTCGGCCAGGCCAGCTGCGCGCAAGGCAAACGCCCTACAGCTGTGAATAGCATTAATATTAATAATATTAATAAAGGGCTGGAGCGATAGTACAGCAGGTAAGGCATTTGCCTTGCCTTGCATGCAGCCGATCTGGGTTCGATTCTTCTGCCCCTCTTGGAGAGTCTGCAAACAACTGAGAGTATCTTGCCCACATGGCAAAGCCTGGTAAGCTCCCGTGATGTATTCAATATGCCAAACACAGTAACAGCAAGTTTCACAATTTGTTGTGAGATATTACTGGTACCCGCTTGAGCAAATCGATGAATAACGGGAGGACAGTGCTACTACTGGAAATATTAATAATGGTGATATTGACAACAGCATATTAATATTTAACATTAAATATAAATTTAGTTATTATAATCTACACATTTTAAGATAAAGACTAGAAAGATGACTTAATGTAGTGAAATAGAATCACTAAATCAGTGTTTTTATAGCTATTTTCCTTTTTCTTTCTGTAAACTTCATTGCAGGGAACAAAGAGATTAGTGAATGATTGAAACCTACAATATTTATATTGACCTAAAAATCATCTTCCAGCTTTACAGCTGGAATCGTCAGCCTGCATGCTTTAGGGAGTGCACCAACAACTCCTATTTTCAGTTTCCCTACTCAGAATCTGCTCCTCTGCATATTCTATTTTCCATACAGAAAAGTGCTCCCTAAACAATCTCTCCTAACAGAGAAGACTATCAGCAGAAAAGGACATCATCATTATCTTTTCATTTTCAAAATAATTTCAATTCTGCATTAATATCCTTTTGAGAGAAGATAAGGAGAAATACTTGAAATGCAATGGGTAAAAATATTATCTTTTCTCTGAAATCAATAATGGCACTGATGTCTGGAAACGATGTGACACTCCATTTGTCATACGTTCTATTCTGAGCACAGGGCAAAGAGGAATCCTGAGCTAGGATGAATCTGATGCAAAAATTTTTCAGTATTTTGAAGGATTTACAGGTTGCTCAATAGGAAATGCATGACTGCATTCCAGAACATTTTTTTGGAGTGAGTAATGACTTGGAATAAGATAACAAAATAATCATAAAACAAAATTATTATTAACAGTAAGAAAAGAATGACTGTCACTGTCACTGTCCTCCCATTCATTGTTCATTGATTTGCTCGAGCGGGCCCAGTAACTTCTCCATTGGAGACTTTGCTGTTACTGTGTTTGGCATATCGAATACGTCACGGGTAGCTTGCTAGGCTTTGCCGGGAGGGCGAGATACTCTGGGTAGCTTGCCAGGCTCTCTGAGATGGGCGGAGGAATCGAACTCGGGTCAGCTGCGTGCAAGGCAAACACCCTACCGCTGTGTTATCGCTCCAGCCCAAGAAAAGAATCCAAACCTGGAATTGTTTCATCCAGTGGAATGAACTGGTTATTTTATCCTACAATTTTATTATTAGCAATTAATACCCTATCTGTAGCACTCTCCTCCCGTTCTTCATCGATTTGCTCGAGCGGGCACCAGTAACATCTCCATTATGAGACTTGTTGTTACTGTTTTTGGCATATCGATTATGACACGATATAAGCTTGCCAGTCTCTGCCATGCAGGCGGGATACTCTTGGTAGCTTGCTGGGCTCTCAGAGAGGGATGGAGGAATCGAACCCGGGTCAGCCACATGCAAGGCAAATGCCTTACCCGCTGTGCTATCGCTCCAGCCCTAGCAATTAATGTTGGGATTAATTAAATTACAGCTTGGCCTAGGAGTTCTATAAAATGGTTCCACTGAAATATCCTCAGAGTAATAATATCTTCTAAACTCCTAAGATCTGATCTACTTGGTGGTGTTAAAATAGTAAATTAATTCCATACTTAATATCTGGAAGTTTGTAAACACCCATTATGAAAACACCCATCATTTTTTTTCTTAACATCTGTAGCACAGTAACAGCTTGGAATCTTTGGGATTGAGTTGTAATTCTGATTCTCGTATATAAGCCTCCATTTCTTTGAGGTAAAACTGGTTATAAGTAATAATAATAATCCAAGTCTTAGAATGGGAATAGCAAGAGACCAAAATAAGTGTGAGAAAAGACATCATAGTCTTCATGACCATAAAAAAGTAGAAAATATGTTAGTAAATCTCTTATACAAGGGCTTGATGGCACCGGAGCGAGATACAACAATCTTGACACACTTTCCTCTAAGGAAACTTTTTGAGATAATTTTTAGTGGATTATTCATAATAAGCGATACAAAATAAATTATTTGGGACCTGCTTTGGGGACAGGTGGTGGGAAAATTCAAAATAATGGTGGTATAGAACCCAAAAGGAGAGAAAGAGAACAAAAGGGAATGCCCTGCCACAGAGGCTGGGTGGGATGGGGAGGCTGGGGGTGGGAGGGATACTGGGATCCGTGGTGGTGGAAAATGGGCACTGGTGGAGGGATGGGTACTCGATCATTGTATAACTGAAACCCAAGCACAAAAATTTGTAAGTCTATGTACCTCGTGGTGTTTCACTAATAAAAAAATAAATAAAAAAATAAAACTTTATGTTCCTAAAAACAACAACAACAACGATAAAACAAAACAAAAAACAAAACAGTGGCGGTGGGAAGGTGTAATGGTGGTAGGATTGGTGTTGAAATATTAAATGTAATAAACCATTTGGAACAACTTTATTTATAAAAATAGAAAAAATTTTTTAAAAAAGTATGAAATAGGGGCTGGAGAGATAGCACAGCGGTAGGGCGTTTGCCTTACAAGTGGCCAACATGGCCGACCCGAGTTCGATTCCTCCGCCCCTCTCAGAGAGCCCGGCAAGCTACCGAGAGTATCTCGCCCGCACGGCAGAGCCTGGCAAGCTCCCCGTGACGTTCTCGATATGCCAAACACAGTAACAACAAGTCTCACGATGGAGACGTTACTGGGCCCGCTGGAGCAAATCGATGAACAACAGGAGGACGGTGACCATGAAATAGGGGTAATAATTAGCAAGGATTGTGTGATGATAAGTATAGCCCAGAAATATTACCTTTGGTGGAATGTCTTCTTCCTGTCGTAACCAAGAGCTTCGGTCAAACTTTTCAATACGAGTAGGGAGAGGAGGGTTTTCAGAGGTGGGATCCGAGTTCTGGCGCGGCATCTCAACACGGTGGGAGGTCACGTTCAGGGCCTCCTGGAAGCCAGAGAGGCCCTTGGTGGGCTGCTCGTGCACGGACTGTGAAGCCGTCAAAGCAGGTCCCTGGGCTTTGACAGCCACCAGATGTGGGATCTAGGTGTCAACCAACAGCGGAGCAGAATTAATGGATGAGAAAAGCAGTTCCCCGAGCACTTTCCCCAGCAGTCAAGATCATTCAGCTTCAGGGAACAAGGCTTGGAGAAACAAAGCCCGTAACAACTGTTCATAGCAGGCTTTTATGAGTTCTTCAAAATTTTCCTTTAGCGAAATATATCAAGCTGAACAGACAATGTTCCTGCCTACGAGATGAAGGTCTTGGAATGGCTAAGAAGTCCGTGAAACTGTGATGATGGTAACAATAATGAATTTTAAATTTATAGTAAAGTGCAGTCTCTGCCCCCGCGCCTCGGTGTTCCTTCCCGGAGTCCCTTGGAGGGGAGCGGGTTGAGCTTTCCTCCCCGCCCCGACCAGGACTACGGCAGCCGAAGACCTCCAGGACCAGCCACCACCATGCTGAGACCACTCTCCGCACACATGAAGGTACTGGCAGAGGGACAAAGCCACGCGGGTTCCGGGGCCGAGACCTCCAAGCCTACTCGAATTGGAGTCGAGCATCTTCCACCCAGATCCTCCAAATTCCAGTAGGCGGGGGTCACACCCACCACCTGGCCCCCTGGCGCCGTGTAATCCCATCAGCGGCCAAGACTCAGAGACTATAAAATCCAGATCCCGGAACCGCATTTGCGGCCGCGCGACATCTTATCAGGACATCTTTTTATGACATCTTATTATCTCATTCCTACTTTGGACAAACTTGCAGGCTATCGAATGTAGCCTGCCCACAGGGCAGAGTCTGGCAAACTCCCCGTGGCCTACCAAATATGCCAAATACCAGTAACAATGATGGGTCTCATTCTCCTAAAGAGCCATGAATATAATCTCAGGGCTAGGATGAAAGAGACGTTACTGGGGCCTGCTCGAGGCAATCGATGATTAACAGGATGATGAAATGAAAATGAAATGAAAATATGGTATATTCAGAAGTATTTTTTTCTATCATGAAAAACACCTAATCATAATATTAAAATGTATGTATACACACACACACACACAAACACACACACACCAGGAAATGGACCCAGTGCCTCAGACATGTGAAACATATATTTTACCACTAGATACACTGCTAGCAATAATCAAAGACATAGTGGAAAGCCTAGAAATCTTCCTTCTTTCCTTCCTTCCTTCCTTCCTTCCTTCCTTCCTTCCTTCCTTCCTTCCATCCTTCCTCCCTCCCTTCTTTCCTTCCCTCCCTCCTTCTGTCCTTTTATTCTTTCTTTTTCACATCAGAATAGTAATATGCTGACATTGTAATAATATCTATGGGAGGCACATGTCACACAAACGTATGAACACCTCGTCATCATGCATATGAGTCCTAAAAGGAACACAGAACAACTTTAAAATAGCATCCTTATCCCCTCTGCCCCCCCCAAATAAAGCCACGAAAATCAAACTCCTGAAGAATGACATCATTAGTTGCCAGCTACATTTCAGTTGCCCTGTACTTTGACAGAGCTGCATCAGATCTCCCCCACTTCTCCCCTTTACGGGCAAAATTATCATAAATGTTAAAGTTTGGGGTTTCAAAATATTAGTGTTGAGAGAGATATTCCTGCGGGGGCGGGAATGATAGTACAGCATAAAGGGAGTTTGCTTTGCATGCACCCGACCTGACTCCAATCCCCAGAATCCAATATGGTCTCCCGAGCACTGCCAGGAGTAATTCCTAAGTGTAGATTCAAGTATAATCCCTGAGCATCATCACCTGTGGCCCTAAAGCAATACAAAACAATAACAAAGATATTCCTGCAAATATGCACTGTTTGGAAAGTTAACCATAAAACCTATACACAGTTGAAACACTAAAGAGTGTGAAAGGAAATGAAACGTGCCAAACTGGCTGCTACATAAAAATTAGACCTCATTTAAGGCAAAATTAAGACAAAGAATCCTTGATTTTGTTACTACCGTTCAAACAGCATCATCTGTTTCAAATGTGACTTCAAAATATTATGGGGAAGGAAGTGTTAGCACAGGTGAATGGCTGGAAGAAGCTGAAGACTCTGTTGTGAAAACAACTCCATTACCTTTTATTTTCCATGGTAAAGGTAAGGTAAAGGTCCTCCCGTTGTTCGTCGATTTGTTCGAACAGGCCCAGTAACGTCTCCATTGGAGACTTTGTTGTTACTGTGTCTGGCATATTGAATACATCATGGGTAGCTTGCCAGGCTCTGCCGTGGGCACGAGATACTCTCGGTAGCTTGCTGGGCTCTGAGATACTCTCGGTAGCTTGCCGGGCTCTCCGAGAGGGGCGGAGGAATCGAACTCGGGTCGGCCATGTTGGCTGCGTGCAAGGCAAATGCCCTACCGCTGTGCTATCGCTCCAGCCCCTTATTTTTGAAAGTCAATATTTTAATTTCATTTCATATTTTATTTTTTAGCTTACAGTCTGTTAAAACTTCCTTCTTTTGTGAAAGTGGAGTGACTTTTATTGTCGTTTCCAAATAAGTTAAAATAGTGCTTTTCAAACTGTAAGCATAACATACCCATCCGAAGGGCTTGTTAAATCACTGATCACTAGCCCTTCGCTCTTGCTCAGAGTTTAAAAGAGACTTATAGACCTGGGGTTGACCTGTAATCTGTGTCTCGACCAAATTCCTGGCTGCTGCTGCGGCATCTGACAACAGTACAGTGACCATACCTTGAGAAACACTGCTTAGGAAACACAATTTTACTTAATCAAAATTGCTGAATTTTTCTGGTTTCAGGATCATACTCAAGTCCTAAAGAATAAAAGACTATGTGTATATATATATATATATATATATATATATATATATATTGCTTTTTGGGTGATACCTGGCAATGCACAGGGGTTACTCCTGGTTCTGCACTCATGAATTACTCCTGGCGGTGCTCAGGGGACCATGCTGGGAATTGAACCGGGATCGGCCGTGTGCAAGGCCCTACCTGCTGTGCTATTGCTCCAGCTCTCATAATTTAATATGTCAAGAGTCTATATGAATTTTCAACTTGATAACTAAGGCTACAAGAAACTCCTCTCTATACCCTTTAAATTCTGTGGGTCCTCTCTATTGCTATCATTTCTCTGTTGTTTCCTAAATAGCTTGATCCTATGCCTGAATACCTGGAACATTTTCTGGTCTTTCAGGAGGTTTATACCCTCACAAAAGATCCAACAGAACAAAGAGACACTGTACCTGAGGATCAACCGGTCTGAGCATGGGGGGTGTCCGAGCAGGCTGGACCCCGCTGATACTGAAGGACTCTGACCTTGGGGGCAGGTTGGGGTCAGATATCCTGTTGGCAACTTTGTGAGGCATGGCAGGTGAGCTCTGCCGGTTGAGTCTCGATCGTTCTTCTACCTGGAAGCCAAAAAATGAAAGATGTTCAATAATTTGAAGCTGATTTACTTCTTAGTGGGATTTTTCTGGAGTCACCTGCAGCCAGTTTTGCGTCCTCAGTTCATTGTACAGAACCTAAACACTCCGTATCTTCTCTGCATCAGGAATTTGGGAAGAAATTGATACTCTTTGTCTGAGTAAACACTAGCAAAAATTCACATACTATTCCATAACTCTTTCGTTATTCATTTTCTAGTGCTATTTTAATCACCCCGGAGTTGGGCACCTGCTTAAGAGTTAATCTTTCAGGTACTGGGACAGCTTAATGACACTACAAAACCCTGGTGCCAGGAAGGGGGAGAGAGATAACTATGGTAGACATTAATATTGCTTAGGGGAAATAGAAAACTGCTTTGAGTTGTTTCATGAAACAGTGGGGAGGGAGCAAAGCAGAAGGACTGACAAGAGGATGAGGCTGAGTGTACTAAGCTTACATTTTTTTCACAGGTTCTATTGATAGGCAAGTGGGCATTTTTGGTGGCTTTTTTTTTTTTTAAAATGAGCTCACCCATTTTGTGAATGCTTAGCTGTCTGAAGGCTCACCTCAGATCACCACAGTGAATAGCTATGGGTATTTGTAGAAATACCCATTTTTTTAAAATAATAATCTGACAGCAGATATTTATTGATTGGCTCTCTCCTCCTAGAACAATCACTGTCACTGTCACTGGCCTCCTGTTGTTCATCAGTTTGCTCCAGTGGGCCCAGTAACATCTCCATCGTGAGATTTGTGGTTACTGTGTTTGGCATATCGACTACATCACGGGGAGCTTGCCAGGCTTTGCTGTGCAGGTGAGATCCTCTCGGTAGCTTGCTGGGCTCTCCGAGAGGGGCAGAGAAATCAAACCCGGCTTGGCCGTCCCGGCCACGTGCAAGGCAAATGCCCTACCCGCTGTGCTATCGCTCCAGCCCTGGAACAATCAATTATATAATTGATTTTCTTTTCTTTATTTATTACAAAGCTATTCATCCAACAGCCATCCATTCAACAATTTACCACAAGAGTGTGGGGGGGTGGAGGGTAGTTAAGATAGAGGAAGGTCCATTATGACAACATTAGTTGGAAACAAACACTCTGGTCAAGAACTGACCGTTGAAAGTAGGTAAAGGGATATACATGATAACCTTTCAGCACCTGTATTGAAAGTCATAATGCCTAAAAGGAGAGAGAAAGAGAAAGAGAAAGAGAGAGAGAGAAGTGAGATGCATACCATAGAGGCAGGCTGGAGTGGGGGGTGGCTTGAAGGGGTGGGACACTGGTAGCAGGAAATTAAACTGGTGGAGGGATGGGTGTTAGAACGTTGTATGATGGGAACCTCCTTCAGAATATTGCTTTTTCAATTGTCTTACTCTGCTCCTTAAATATACCGCCCCTCCTCATTCTTTCTATTTCCAGGTTGGACTTCAATGCCTCCCTCTCTCCTGCTTTCTATTTCTTCATATCTGATTTTCACATTCTCCCTTTTTGTTCCTTGACCCTCTGTTTTCATTGACTCTTTGTGATTCCCTTTCTAGCAGTCCTTCTCAGCTCTCAAAAGATAACTGATGAGAAGTATCCCCACAGTGGGGACTCAGAATACAAGGAAATGCCCATTTCACTAGTCAAAGTTACCCTTAATACAAATTTACCGCAATAAATAGTTTTTAATTTTAAGGGGAAAAATAGATAAGTGGGATAGACATTGCCAGACATAACTTAAAGTATTTAACGAGTCCAAAAAGTCTATGACTATTTTCAAGATCTATTTGTTTCTGTTCTTTATTTCTTTAGAATCAATTTGACAGCAGTATCCTCCTAAACCTTCAAGGGTCATGCATTACCACACCACTTTCCATGACCCTCAAGTGTGAGCCTTAACTCAACTAACTCAATAAGTTCTACGAGAGCCTGCCATAGAACCCACACACAGGCCCTTAGGAAGTAAAGTAAAGGCCCTCCCGTTGATCATCGATCTGCTCGAGTGGGCCCAGTAACGTCTCCATTGGAGACTTTGTTGTTACTATGTCTGGCATATCGAATACGTCACGGGGAGCTTGCCAGGCTCTGCCATGTGGCCGAGATTCTCTCGGTAGCTTGCCGGGCTCTCCGAGAGGGGCGGAGGAATCAAACTCCGGTGGGCCATGTTGACTGCGTGCAAGGCAAACGCCCTACCGCTGTGCTATCGCTCCGGGCCCAATAGGAAATATTTGTAAAATATGAGTCATTAATTCATTTTGGGCTGGAGCGATAGCACAGCGGGTAGGGCGTTCGCCTTACACGCGGCCAACATGGCCGACCCGAGTTCGATTCCTCCGCCCCTCTCGGAGAGCCCGGCAAGCTACTGAGAGTATTCGATATGCCAGACACAGTAACAACAAAGTCTCCAATGGAGACGTTACTGGGCCCGCTTGAGCAAATCGACGATCAACGGGAGGGCCTTTACCTTTACCTTTTAATTCATTTTGCTGCCCATTATTAAAGTTCAAAGTTGTTTCCATTCTCCGTACACTATTTTGGATTTTCTAGAGGCACGCTTATACATAAAAGTCTGTTTTTAAACTTCTCACATTAATCGCAAATACACTGTTCAAAATATACCACAGAAGAGAAAACTTCTCCTGCCTCTACATGGAGGTAATGTGGACATCTCTGCTCCTATCATGACTGTGCAGGGTACATATAATTGACATCCATCAACTTTAGTTTTGTAATTCCACGTCCCAGCAACTTACCAGATACAAAATAAGATTGGCTGCAAAAATCCAGAAATATAAACCAAAGCATGTATGATTTGTTTTCAAAGTATTACATCGCCAATATTTATTTGGATAATGTATTGAGCAAAAGATAATCACAAAGCCTGCACAGATAAGATCTAAAATAGAAACCTGCATAGCCATTAATAGATAAACCAACAACAGGTCATACAATGTATTACTTTCCAAAATACTAAACTTGGAAAAGAAGGTATGGCCTATTTTCAGGTAATAAACCTTGTCAAAAATTTATTTTCTTTTTTTCTTTTGCTTTTAGGGTCACACCCGGTGAAGCTCAGGGGTTATTCCTGGCTCTGCACTCAGGAATTACTCCTAGCGGTGCTTGGGGGGGATCATATGGGATATTGGGAATCGAACCCGGGTTGGCCGCCTGCAAGGCAAATGCCCTACCCGCTGTGCTATCGCTACAGCCCCTTATTTTCTTATTTCAATGGAAGATCACTAACAGAATACCACGTGTACAAGCACATTTCACTCTATCCCACCTGGCACCATTCAAACCATTGCTGCCTGAGTTCAGGAATCTAAGAGATTCATACAAAATTTCCAAAAAACCAATTTGGCTATTCATACTGTATATCCTTTTTAACACCCAGAAGCCACATACATATCCAGAGAAGGAAGAATGATTCTCATTATTTATGAAAAAAATGTCCCTGAACAATGTTAAACACACATATAAAGACACCGAATTAAAAACAGTAGCTGAAAAGCTTGCTTTGAAAGACTTCATCTTGAATAAAGAAAGCATTTTTAAAATAAGAACTCTTTTTGCAATTGCAAGCAGTAAGTTTCCAGTAATGTATGTATCCAGGCTTTAGTAGAATCATACACCACCGTCTAAAGCTATCACTAGAAAGGAACAGGACAGGAAGGAAGAGCAAGACAAAAACAGGACAGAAAGATGACTTCCATTAATGGGATTGCTTACTTTTTTGTTTGTTCGTTTTGTTTGGTATTAGCTCAAGGATAGAGCAGGGAGATAAGCCCAAACACAGGATGAAGTCATGAAATTTACATACAAGTGGTACTACATGGAAAGTATCATGCTAAGTGAAATGAGTCAGAAAGAGAGGGACAGACATAAAAAGATTGCATTCATCTGGGGGACATAAAGTAACAAAATAGGAGACTAATATCCAAGAATAGCCGAGATAAGTATCAGGAGGATTACTCCATGGCTTAGAGGCCAGCCAGGCATGCTACGGGAAAAGGCAGCTCAGGTAGAGATGGGAACACCAAATAAAGGGTGTTTGGAGGATCCTCCCAGGATGGGAGTTTCATGTTGAAAGTAGACTATAGTCTGAACATGATTGCCACTCTATGCTTCTTTTGCAGACCACAACAACCAAAAGGAGAGAGAAAACAAAAGGGAATGCCCTTCCACAGAGGCAGGGTGGGATGGCGGGGGGGGGGGGGGTGAGAGGGATACTGGGATCCATGGTGATGGAAAATGGGCACTGGTGGAGGGATGGGTATTTGATCATTGTATAATTGAAATATTATCTTATTATCTCATTCCTACTTTGGACAAACTTGCAGGCTATCGAATGTAGCCTGCCCACAGGGCAGAGTCTGGCAAACTCCCCGTGGCCTACCAAATATGCCAAATACCAGTAACAATGATGGGTCTCATTCTCCTAAAGAGCCGTGAATATAATCTCAGGGCTAGGGTGAAAGAGACGTTACTGGGGCCTGCTCGAGGCAATCGACGATTAACAGGATGATGAAATGAAATGAAATGAAATAATTGAAACCCAAGTACAAAAATTTGTAAGTCTACAACTGTACCTCATGGTGTTTCACTAATAAAAATTTAAAAAAACTTAGGAAACTACTTCTAAGATCAATTTCAGTAGGACAGAAGGGGAGCTTGGTAGAGTATTCTTAATTATTACTTAGATAGTGAGCAAATGTCTGCCCCTGATTAATCATGTGCATGGCTGTTAATTCAACAGTAGTTAATAGTGAGTGGACTAAAAAAGGGGCCCATCTCCGATTAAAGATATGTATGATTAAAAACTGGAATGCAATGAAGATCTATTTCAATCAAACTAATGCTAAAAACCAACTAGCCAATCCTATACTACATACTTCTGCTGCTAAATAAATGTAAAAACCAGAAGCAATACCAGCAGAGTGTTCTGTTAGCTTAGATAGAGAGTTTTAAGGTGACAGGTCATCATAATAACAAAAAAATTGTT